CTGATACCATCTCCTCTCCAGGCAACCTGACTTTTCCACAGCAATGAATGAGCGGATTAATCTCGTCAACAGGACAGGAAAGCTAACAAGTTCTCCTGGCTTGTCACCGGGCACTAATTCAATATTCCGCCTACGGCTGCTCTTGACCTTCCAGACAGTTTGTCCATTCTGCCTGCTCGCCTTGAATGATGGATGGATGGACCTTTTGGCTCCTTCAGCCTGTGATCCATTTCACCGGCTCTGCGTACAAGGCAGCTCTTTGAAGCCGCATAAATGTCAAGACAGGATTTACGAGACTGTGATCTGCAATTTGAAAGGAAGCTGCCAGGGGGGCTTGGAGTTAGAATTAATGCTAAATGCCATCTAAGGCTTAGGCCACACCAAGTAAATTGTATGGATGACGTCCTTTGGAGACCCTATATCTAATGCGAGAGGGTGAAAAAAAAACAAAAAGCGCCCTAAAAAGCAAGATGCCTAGATTAGAAATATACTAAGAGACGACAAATGTTAGGACACAAATTGAATGAGGTGACACAGATTAACAATCAAGAAGTCTTTTATTCATCATCAAAACAGCAATAAATCAGGTGGAACAGCAGTTGTCATCCTGTCCTGTTTCTTTCATCACATTTTTGCACGCCTGCAGAAACAAAGCATGTGCTCTTTACCCATTTCGTGTTACGGGTTTCACGTCAATCTAACGATTTGCGGCACTGTCGTGACTCTTTGGTCATAGTTACAGGAAGCGGAACTTCTTGGTTTTTTTTTCTAGGAACAGGCCAAAATCAATGCGCGCGCGGACGTCATCCATAAAATTTACTTGGTGTGGCCTTACCTACAAAAGTGAAATCATTTTCGAGTCTGTGACATTGTATTTTTTGGTTTCTACAAACAAAAGTCAGGATTTAGCAGATTGTGAGCTGCAGTTTTTAAGGAAGCTGCCAAGGGACCTTAAACATAGGCTTAACTACAAGTACAGATGAAACACTGTTTCAAATATGTAATTCTTCAGATATCTTCTTTTCACAAAGAAAATGGTTAAACAGTTCAAATTCATAAGTCACAGGATGTTTGACATCAAGCTAACTTAAAAATGTTACCAGCAATGGTATAACTAGAGTTTTTTTTTTTTATCATACATGAGCAATAATGTGCCTGTATGTCATATCTCTGTGGATCTCAAATGTTTCTGAATAAACCATTTGCTCCAGACGGCCACGACTGGAGGCAAAATTGTTACTTTGGTACATTATACCTTCACTGACATTGCAAGGTCAACGGACTGTCAACCTACACTATACACAGGAGAAAATTACATCCCTTGTAAAGCATCACATCTCTTGCAGCTGATGGTGTCAGGAATAGAACAAAGATTGCTCTAGCAATTACCACGGCTGTCTTGAGCTTCCAAGATATTGGGAGGTCCATACAAAAGAGAAAAATATATTCACCGCATACTTGAAAGGCTATCCAAATTTCTTTTGAAAATGCTGGAACTCAAAAAGTAATGACATCAGTACTACAGCATATCTTAATAAAACATATACGTAGTTAATTTACTGAAATATATTTTTACTAATTCTATCTATGTCTTAACTTTAGATTCTCTTTATTATGATTTCTTAGTATGATCCATACTTCCAACATTTTGAGTGGTACAGGTCAAATTTGCCTGGTGGAGGTAATTTCCAATAAGCAGGTATGCAGAAAAATGTATTTCTAGCTCTGACCCAGTACTTGCCTTTCATGCATGAATGACGAGACTGCCAGAAGAAGACATCACTCGTGATGATGATAATTTGTGGGTATGAAGGTATACATGTAACTCCAGACATCGCCAGCCAAAATCTACTCAGCTGTGAAGGGTATCTGGTCAACGTTCTGATGCTGCATTATTACAGTTCAGTTCTAAATATCATTCTCTATAACAGGGCTTCTAGATAAGCAGTACCAGGGCTGGAAATAGTTTGTTTCTGCATACCTACACTGGTGTAGGTAACATTGAAAATTACCTATAACAGAGAAATCTTGAATTGTAATTTACTATCAATGGGGTGGTAACAGTCAATATAGCAAATAAAAATCCACATATGACATGTGTACAATGTATATATAAAAATCCAGTACATGGACAAGGGCAGGTTAGGTGCAGGTTAGGTTCAGGTAAACATACCTGGCAATTTTACCTACACCAGGGCTTGAAATACTGGGTTCATGTGCACCTTAGTGCACCCACATTTGGAGCTGTGCACCTAATTTTTTTCTGTGGGTGCATTTTTGTAGACATTTTTGTACACATTAAATGTATAATAGTACATGTATACAGGATTTGCTTGGCATCTAAGTGCCAGAAAAACAATAAAATGTTTGCTGTTGTACTTGTTTAATATTAGTTAGCACCCATTTTAGATTCAATCTTAGAAGAGGAGTAGTAATATAGTGCACCCCAAAAATGTTTGTGCACCCAATTTTTTAGGTTGGGTGCACCTATTCCCTGACTATACTAACCTGCATATGCAGGTGGTACAGTACTACTTCCAGCCCTGAGTACTGAAAAATACTGAATATCCAGGTGTGAGAAGAGCATTATAAAATCCACCACAAACCTGGCAAAGATGGATCCCTCTGTTGTTTTACAACCCGTGGATGAGTTTGACTACTCCCAGCAGTATTGCCACAGGTGAAAAATCCATGAAGGGGCCGCAATTCCAATTTCATGGACTCAGGAAATAAATTCACGGCACTTTCTGACCACTGCCCAAGCTGAGAGTTTGTAATACATGAGACATAATCTTCGGATGATATTCAAGATAGCAGGCTTCTTTTTTTGTTTTAATGTCCTAACTTATGTACAGGAATGCATCTATTTGAACACAAATATTTTACCACGCTTTGCACAAGATTATTGATTTTGATCTATATTAGATTAGAACAGTTGCCTAATATGAATTGCAAAAATGGAAATGTTTTTTTTAAAGGACAAATTAAGTCATTTCAGTTTCAAATGTGAACATGGATTTGGGTCAAATATCACACTTATGTGTACTGGACTGGAGGAAGCCAAAGGATCACCTTTTGCAAAAAGTATTTTGGGTTGAAAGGTACCAAAACTGAAATTACTTATTTGTCTTTTAATATCATTTTTTCTAATAATAGTTGAATATAACTTTTGGAGAAGCACAGAGTTCCTCCATAAAATTGATATGCAATACAGACACCCAGTGAGCAGTGAGATGGGGAAATACAAAGCACACTTCCAATTATTTACTGTTAATTACATGTTCGATTTAACTTCCAGTCCTGGTAATGAGCCTGGTCTCTAAAGGGAATGTTGAAGT